CAGGGGGTGGTGTTGCACTTGCAGGGGGGCATGCCACGCCTGTGGGGGGTGGAGATCTGTATCCGCGGCCCAGTTCTGGCAAGCCCAAGGACCGGGGTTGACAACCCCTGCTCTAGTAGTTCACACGCTTTACAGGACCGGGGGTTGACGACCCCTGCTCTAGTAGTTCACACGCTTTACCATATGCATCCCCTTCTCCTTTTCTCTCCGTTTCCACTTTATACTTGTCCCAACCTAGTTTTGTGGGTACCATGAACACTCTACTTTTCCCTCCATCTCCTTCCTCTTCCCAGACTGACAGCCGCTCCTTCTCCTTCTTTCCCTCGTCCCTCTCTTCCACCAGACAAATCTCTATCTCCTTCTTGGTTCCGCCTCCTTCTCCCCTTCAACACTCAACCCTTTTCCTCCTCTAGCTTCAACTGGTCCTACCCCCTCTTTTGTCTCTGTCTCCATGACTTGAAGGGACGGCTCACTCTTTTCTTTCTCATCTCCTGTCACAATTCCTTCACACTAGGGTTCTCAGTGGCTGAAACAGAGAGAGCCTGAGTAAGTGACATGGCTAAGGTTATATCCAATAGAAAGTTTGGAAAAAAATATTAAGGATTTCCATGGCTCTGGTATAAGTTACAAACCAAGTGCTAGGAGAACAACTAAAGTCATAAAGGTTCTAAAACATATTGTGCAAGTGGAATCTAATGCTTTGTTATGTTCTGCAAGAGTGAAAATAGGGTTTCTCTGGTTGGTAGGAGCTGGCTAAATAGCTCAGTGGTTTAGGTTGTGGAGCTAGAGTTTGGGAGTTCAATTATCCATTGGGGCTCCTGGGAGAAGACCCAGCCTGTGTGGCCTTGGACAAGCTGCACAGTCCCAGGATGGCCCCAGAAGAAGGAAATGGTAAACCACTTCTGTGTATTCTCTACTTAGAAAACCTGGAAAGGGTCACCATAAGTCAAAATCGACTTGACAGCATGGAATTAAATGAGTAATAGACACTTTGTGTTAGTACAGAAGACAATTTTGACCCTTCAGATGTTGTTAGACTCCAACTTTCTTAAACCTTCACCATTAGCTATGGATGGTGATGGTCGATCTGATGGTAGGCCAACAGATGTATAGAAGGTTGCAGTTGCCTGCCCTTGCACTAGCAGCATGACCTAAGAGCTAAATGGATGATCTACAAATGATCCCTAAATTTACTGTTTTGGCTCAGTAGCTTTCATTTCCTCTTCTGGTGTGGGAGAGTACGGGTTCTAGGAGAAGGGACTACCAAGCCTCTAACATGATTGCCTTCTCTACCCAAGAATTCCTACCGCTGTGCCTGCCGTGCTGTTGGTTCTGTCCTTGAACTCGTAGAGAAAGTGTTGGCTGGGGAGCTTCGTAATGGGCTTGCTGTCATCAGGTAGGATGAAGACCAGAATATGGTTTTTGATTTTTCTCTAAAAGTCTCATCCAACATGTGATCCCAGAGTGCTATCAAGAGCATGCATGGACACCGCTCTTTCTTACAGGTTACTAAATGAGTTGGGGGGGGAATGGACAGATACTCTCTGAGAGTACGTATTATCCGTATGGAAGACGCATGTGTTGCTGTAGTTTCTCCTCCTTTTGATCAGCCAAGAGATGAAAGGCTTTCCAATCTTGGAAATGTTACATTTTTGGACTACAGCTCTCAGAATCCCCCAGCTAAGATAGCCAGTATCTGTGATGGCAGTTGTGATCCAAAAAGTAACTTTTTCAAGCTTGGTTTTTCCCAGTCCACTAAAGATAAAGGAATGCTGATTCAAGATGATGTTTAGAAGATTTTCCTGAGCTTTAACTTGGAAGGTGCAACTACAATAGGCCTACTGAATCACTTGGGATTTGGTGAATTAGCCTCTTCACAACTTCCCTTGTTTCAATGGCCCTACTCTAGTTGTGACTTTCTACTGGATCTCAGACATTATGTTGTAAAGATAGAATTCCTACTGTGTTATTACATCATAGGCATATGTGTATGTTTCTCTGTAAGCCTTGTCCCATTCACGTATACAACCCTTTCCTCTTATGGCATTTTCCCTCCAGCTTTTTTCTGTCATAGTGCAGCTAGGATGTAAATAATAATATGCTGGCACGCAAGGAAGAATTAGGAACCCCCTCATCCTTGGCATTATCTCCCTTGCAAACATGTGCATGGACAGTGCAGTCGACATGAGGTGTTTGCAGCGCATATAACGGTCCCATATTCACTGCGTTGCATCCATTTCTGTCCTGTAGAAAGATTACATCACCAGGGGAAGCCCATTTTATCATGCATTTGGGATTTGGTTTATATCGCTCTGACATGGAACATGAAGGAGCTTGGTTCCACATCACCAGGGGAAGCCGATTTTATCATGCGTTTGGGATTTGGTTTACAGTATATCACTCTGACATGGAACATGAAGGAGCTTGGTTTAACCCATGCTTATGGCCCCAGTACAATGACACTATTGTCTGCCGGTGTTTGGTGTCCAACTCTTATATGGCTCCTGTGCTATTGATACAGAGGGCATAGCTGCTCTACAAACTTGTTTTAATGCCACTTTAAATAATTATCATAATTTGGTGCTGAGGATGTTTCCATAAATGATCACATTAGCTTATGCAGGAATATTTTTTTTGTTTTGAAGTGCTGTAGTATTGGTGGAGATTTGTTTTCCCCTCTTTGGGAACAACAAATCTCAAGTTTGCCTTGGGAAAATAATTACTGTTAACGGGTGGTGGACGCGTTCATTACAGTGGTGATAATGTAAAAGACTTTTCTGTTGTTCTCCTTGGGATTTTGTTTTGTGTTATCTATACTGAACTAGTTTATCTGTGCATCTGAGCTGATGGTTAATAAGAGCAGGTGTTTATGGCAATACAGCATTAGCTTCTGGCTGCTTTGTATCTTTTGGGCTTCCCAATGGCCAGTGCGTCCTTTTCCAGTTCTGCGGCTAGCCAGTGTTTCTCTTGGTTTCAGACCCCCTGGACACCATGCTCAGTACAACAACATGGACGGCTACTGCATGTTCAACACTGTAGGCATTGCAGCCCAATATGTGCGACAGAAATTGGGGTTTGAGCGGTGAGTAATGGGACCTAAATCAGAGATACAGGTCTCCTGCTTTCAACTGATAGGAAGTTTTTTGGTGAAGGATTTTCTGATGTTTGTCATGGAATAATCCCAGTTCCTGACTGTTCTGTTGCTGGAGGCTCAAGCCAAGAAAGAGGGCGCCCCTCAGATTACTTTCCAGATTTTGCTGCCTGAAGCAAAAAAACAAGATGGTGTCCTTGGAACTGCTAATGGGCTGGTGAACTGTTGAATCTTTTAACACCGAGATAGCTTATTCCATTGTGCCGAAATGTAGCAGTTCAGCCTGGGACACATGGGGCAGGCCACACAGTGCATGGGCCCTCTCCTCCCAACACTTGACCCCGGCCTCTAGGCATTTGTTGCCTGACTAATTGTCCTCCTCTGCCTAACTGTAGGGTCCTCCCCACAGCTCAGGCATTGAATGGGCAAATCCCTGGTCCCATGGACATGATTTACCTTTGCCACAAACCCATGAGGTGGCCTAAGGGAATCCAGTATTCCCTCATCTTCAGCTCTTTCATCTGCACTATGGTTATCATAGTATTGGTCTAGCCTGTAGGACTGTTAAATCATTTGCGTGTGTGACATAACTCTGTATGCTTGAAGGTGTTGAATAAATGCTGAAATTGGGCCATTTGGTTGTTTAGTTGCAGATGTTGCATATTCAAGTGACTAGATGCCCATTTTGTCTCGGAACACCTGCCTACTGTAATTCAGTTTTCTGCTACAGTCCTTTAAAATTTCAGTGTAAAGGATTAGTAAGTGACCAGTTGTGTTTAATTATTGTCCCTGCATCTTCCTCTATGACAGGGTTAGAGAATCCATGTTGTTGAACTGCAGTTTCCTTCACAATTGGCAGTGCTGGCTAGGGCTGATAGGAGCTAGAGTCTAGCAACATCTGGAGGGGCACAGCCCTCAGTTAAGAGAACATCAAGACCAACCATCCCATTTCAAGGAATCTTAGCAACTGTTGTATAGGGCAGTGGTTCTTAACCTTTCCTCTATGACAGGGTTAGAGAATCCATGTTGTTGAACTGCAGTTTCCTTCACAATTGGCAGTGCTGGCTAGGGCTGATAGGAGCTAGAGTCTAGCAACATCTGGAGGGGCACAGCCCTCAGTTAAGAGAACATCAAGACCAACCATCCCATTTCAAGGAATCTTAGCAACTGTTGTATAGGGCAGTGGTTCTTAACCTTGGGTTACTCAGGTCAGGTGTGAACAGCTGAGGAAGTTCTATTCAGGATCTCAGCCCACTTGGAATTACAGCTCCCAGAGTTACATTGCTAATGCTGAGTGTCATCTTAGCTGTGCTAATTCCAGAATCCTGCCTCCCCCCCCAAAGTACCTGTACTTCCTGGATTTGCATATTCTAAAAGATGCTGTTATAAGCTTGCATTAGCCCCTTTCCATTCACTCATTTGTTATTTACAATAATCTCATCTCTATGTTTATACTTCCTGGATTTGCATATTCCAAAAGATGCTGTTATAAGCTTGCAATAGCCCCTTTCCATCCACTCATTTGTTATTTACGATAATCTCATCTCTATGTTTACAAATCCTCGCCAAAACATTCATTCGGTTTTGCTGAGATCGTTTATACTTCACTGGCCTTGCTTTGCTAGAGCTGGCTACCTGTTCTGAAAAATGATGGATTGGTTGATTTGCATATTCCAAAAGATGCTGTTATAAGCTTGCAATAGCCCCTTTCCATCCACTCATTTGTTATTTACGATAATCTCATCTCTATGTTTACAAATCCTCGCCAAAACATTCATTCGGTTTTGCTGAGATCGTTTATACTTCACTGGCCTTGCTTTGCTAGAGCTGGCTACCTGTTCTGAAAAATGATGGATTGGTTTGAAAATGATGACATTCAAGCAACACTTTTTAAAAGTATTTTTATTTTTAAAGCAATTCTTTCCTGCAGTTTGCACAATCATGTTAACACTCTTAAACATACAAGGTTTTAAACCTTGATACGAGAATTGATTGTAACATGTCTTTTTCATTGATCACATGTGCATTTCTTTCCCTTCCAGGGTGCTTATCGTCGATTGGGATGTGCATCACGGACAAGGCATCCAGTACCTTTTTGAGGACAATCCCAGGTGCTGAATAAAAAGGGTGGTCTTGAATTGGGATGACTGAGGGCTTGTTCCTTTTGGAGGAACAGGAATTGTCGGAGGTTGGGGCTGTATTAATGTGGAGGTGTAGAACTTTATAAATTTAGGTTCACAGATTGCTGAGAAAGAGACAAATCTTTGTGCATGATTTTTTTTAAGTGCCTATTGAAAGTAATGTTTAGTCGATACAGAAAAATGATAATTCAAGCATAATAAAGCATGTCCTGGCAAGCTTCTAGATGGACATGCACAATGAAGCAGGATACCTTCCCTTGGGGCAGTAGGTGTTGAACGCTAGCAAACTCCTTGACTTGACCAGAAGGCTGATGGGGATCCAGCCTACCAAGGGTTTTCTAAGGTGGTCTCCTGTGTTTCTGGAAATTACCAGAATCTGACAAGTGTGGGAACTGAGAGACAAAACAGTCTCCTTCAGCAGGATGTTGTGGGAAGAAGATGTGCTGCGTGAAACAAGCTCCCAGTGCTCCTCATACTATTTTCAGGGAGTCAGCATGAATATTGTTATTACAGTAATAAGAAAAATTAAGAGAGCTAATCTAAAAATAGTTCAAGTGGCTGACTGTGTCTATATGACAAGCAGCTTTAGGTATGTACCATTCTACAGCAGAATTAATCTGAACACATTTCTTCTGTGTCCCCAACAATGTGTGACACGACAGCTCATCTCTTCTATTGACGGCTGATTGTTCACCACTGTGAGGGCGGTCTAGTTTTGGCTTACACGTGGTCTGCAGCCAAACCAGATTAAGAAGGTTAAGGCTCTATTTTGTGGATTAATTGATTGATTGCTTGATTTTTTTTCCATTTGTATCCCACCGCTCTAGTAACAGAGCGCTACTCTGGGCAGGTAACAGCAATAATACAAGAGTAATGATAATAAACATAATAACCCTCACACAGCATATGGATTAATTGATTGATTGATTGATTTTTTTTTCCATTTGTATCCCACCCTTCTAGTAACAGAGCACTACTCTGGGCAGGTAACAGCAATAATAAAAGAGTAATAATAATAAACATAATAACCCTCACACAGCATAAACCTAAGAATAATTTTAAAAACACAATTAAAAGAAAGCTCAGATTAAAATGTGGACCTGCAGGAATGTCACAGGGAGTGCATGTTACCAAAGGCCTCTTTAAAGAGCTCAGCCTTCACACATTTCCTGAAGGTCAGAAGGGAGGAAGCCTGGCAGACATGAACACGCAACACATTCTGTAACATTATGGCCATCAAGAAAGCCAGTGGAATATTTCCAGACCTTTCCACAAAGCCTGGGCGCATTGAGTGGCTCAGGGTAGATGATCGTAAGGAGAGACACTTGCCTGACTCTCATGATTGTCCTTTTGGAGGAACAGGAATCATGTTGACTCTCATTATTGTTTCTTTTCCTAGTGTCCTTTACTTCTCCATTCATCGCTATGAAGGGGGCAGGTTTTGGCCCCATCTTCCCGAATCAGACAGTCATGCTGTGGGCAGAGGCCGGGGAGAGGGCTACAACATCAATGTGCCCTGGAACCAGGTGGGGAAAAGGAAGTTACTTGTACAGGGATTTAGAACTTTAGAACTCAGCTTGTCAGTGTTTCAGGACACAGTAAGCATTGCCTATGGCCCCTGGCAGCTAATGATGAAATAGTCACAATTGCACACGTAAAGCTGCACAACAGGATTTCAAGCAGTATGTGAAAACATAAATGTCCGGCATGTTAAAACATTAATGGAATGGGCTACCATCTCAATCCACCAAGTGTTCTTTGCCAATAAATTCTATTCAAATTTTACATATTTTTTGTTTTCTTATCTTGCTTTTTTCATATGGGAGTTTCAGCAGACTCCCATTTGTATTGATAAGCTATGCTACAATGTTGGGTGCTTCTGGAACAGTCACAGCAGGTGTTTTTTGGCATGCCGGCTCTGCCTTGTCCATTCCTGGCACTGATTGCTCCTGTAGGGTCTCCTGCTGCTTTGCGAGGCTGTAGGTGCTCCACTCATAGCCATCCATTTTGTATCTCACGATGGAAACTAGCTTGCACTGCTGATAGATACCAGCCACCACAGGTGATTGGAGGTTAACTGATGAACTGTCCATACTTTAAGTGGGTGAAACCATTACCTTGGGCCAGCTGTACTGTCGGGCAGAGTGAGATCATTGCCTCAAGCAGCAGATGCAAGGGAGTAGCAGTGGTGATAGCTTCTTGGGTATTTATCTGTTTTGGAGGACAAAACAGTGTATATGCCCCACAACCAGCCTTGATTGCCCTAAATGAGCCTGCTACCTTAGATATATTTCATAATACTATCCCAGCTCAAAAGTTGATATTTTAACCATCAGTGTAACAAACACCTGTATGTCCTTTTAGGCAAGCAAAATGTCTTGATTTGACTCTGATTGTAGGCAAGCTCTGGCTGTGTAGATAATACCACATGGATGATGCTAAGGAGAGTAGACTCGAACATGCTGGAGGGTGAATTATCTCTTGTGTACTGATGGTAATTATTTACCACATTTTTACCTCATCTTTACTTCAGATAGCTTTAGGTAGAGCGCTTAGGGTGTGAGAGATGGTCCCACTACAGTCTCTCAACAGTCTGGTGGCATTGGTTTAGCTGACCCAGGGTTCTTCAGGGAGTGGAGCTCAGATCCTGTTGGTCTAAAGGGGAAAAAAAGTTCAATTTTGTTTGTACAAGACAAAGCCTCGGAAGTTGAAGAATTTCCTTAGATTTCATGTTTTGCCTTTGAAATGAGACATCCATTTATGTGTGTACATTTTTTTCTGTGTTTGAAACTGCATTTTTGGGTTCTTCTACAATAATTTAATGTTCTCTGTCTGTATAGATAGGAATGCGGGATGCTGACTACCTCTCTGCCTTTTTGCATATCCTGCTGCCTGTGGCCTTAGAGGTAAGAAATGCACCACAATGTCATTGCCAAGGAATGGGGAGACCTTCTTGTTTCACTGGTGATCTGGTTGTCTAGTGGTACAGGACCATGGAAAAGGAGGTCTAGCTGTTTCTACATGAGTCTAATTTGAGCTTATGCTGATTCGTAAACTGGTTTGTTCCCCCATATCAGTCTGGGGAACAGTGGGCTTCATTCCTCCGTGCTTTCTCAGCTGCAGACAGCTGTGGATGGGTTGTGATTCTTATTTTCATTGCAGACAGCTGTTGATAGGTTGTGACTCTTATTGTTGATGGCTTGTGATTCTTATTTTCTCCTAAGGTGCAGCGGGTAACTGTGCCCCTCCAGATTTCAGCTCCCATAACCCCTCATCTTAGGCAATTCATCTGGAGAGGTTGTGAGCTCTTGTGATATTTCCTGATTTTTGGGCACATAATGCTTAGTATCCAAATCCAGATATCTTGTTTGTTTGAGCTCCTTCCTTTTAGCTGAGATCTGGATTATGCCCATAAAGGAGCAGAGACTGGCATGTATGGTCAAAACAACAAATAAACCTGAGAGAAAACAAGAAAATCTTAAGGTACAGAGAAGCACTAAAACCAGATGGAACATTGAAAAACAAAGATGAACTAACGACGCAGGGATTTGATATAGACTAGTGGTCACATTCTTAGTTGATTTCAAGATATGGTTAAAGATAAGCAGCAAGGTTTTTATGTGGATAATATCCTTTCGATAGAATCCTCCTGGATACCAAAGACAAGCATAGTAAGGTGTGATATATCTTTTTATTAGATTTTGAAACCCAGGAGGAGATGGTTAAAGAATGCATGATAAGGTGGGCACAGAATATTGGGCACAATCTAAGTTTGGATCAGTGGGAACAAATATGGAAAAATAATATAAAACTCACTGTCAGTAGCTTTTAAAGAAAACATATATAAAATGTTTTAAAGGTGGTATATAACTTCCACAAAACTAGCCAAAATGGATGTTCAAATTTCAAATCGTTGTTGGAGTTGTAAACAAAAAGGTTCTTTTTATCATATGTGGTGGTTATGTGGGAAAGCCCAAAAATGCAGTGATGCTTCACAAGACGAAATTAATTCGTTCGTCGAGTTATGTCTTCTTGCGAAATTTTCGTCGTGCAAGGTGCAGTTTCCCATAGGAATGCATTGAAAATTAATTAATGAGTTCCTATGGGTGAGAAACCTGGCGGGGGACCCCTGAAAGCGGTGCTGGCTCCCCTCCCCCTCCCCTGCCTCTCAGCTGTTCAGCGCTGCTTTCAGAGGCTTCCCGGGGCTTGCCCAGCAGAGAAAAAGGCAGGGGAAAAGCACCATTTTTGAATTTCCCACCCCTTTCCCCTGCCTTTTTCCATGTTGAGCAAGCCCCGGGAAGCCTCTGAGACGCAGTGCCCAACAGCTGAGAGGCG